AGAACTGTCATGAGGTCTGATTACTGACCGTGCAATTATTCTTAAAGATCCCTCGGAGCTCTTGGCATGTAGTGGTGGTTGTATTTTTCAGGTCTGTTGACTCTCCAGGCAGTCAGAGTGGATGCTAGTGCGAGTACACGCTGTGCACATCCAGACGTTCCACTGCTGTCTGAGAGGCGGACTTTCAGCACCACGGACAGCGCTGCTGCAGCTGAACAAGGCACAGCCTTATTTTAAATGCCTGGATGATCTTAGAACTGAAAGGAGTGCAGGAAATGTGCCTAAGCACCCACTAAATTGGTACCACGAGCATGTCACTGTTGTTGCAGAAAGTGAATGGAGGTCTTACAAAATAACCAAAGAAAGTGGCTTAAAGTTTAATAAGTATTAATTTACGAGCACTTGGAGAACAGCAGTGAGCATAAGAGAAATGTCTCCTGTGGCATTCTAACCATCTACAGGAAGCTGCTTCTAGATATAATGTGTCCACACTGGAACTCAAGGGCCTAATTAATAAAAGTGCTGTTGCTATGCTTTCCAGGCCGTCTGTGTAGGTGGGGTAAAATTAATTCAACCAATAAAACTGTTGCAGAAAATATATTCTCCAAATTTCAAATATCAGACATAGTCTCAGCATTTTTAGCTGTTACTTCTACAAATCAATGATACAGAAGCAGAGATGACTGAAGCAGAGAAATTAACAGTATAAAGTAGCAGCCCATGATACAGTGATGTGGACCCAGGAGGTTGAACAGTTGGTCCTGTGGTGCGGTCGCAACAACCTGAACATGATCAAAACAGTGGAAATGACAGTGAACTTTAGGAGGAGCCCACCCTACCCCCTCTCACCATTGTATCAGCAGCAGAGTCCTTCAAGCTCCTGGGCTCCACTATCTCCCAGGACCTGAAGTGGAAATCCAACATCAGCACCATCATCAATAAGGCAAAGCAGAGGATGCACTTCCTGTTCCAGCTCAGGAAGTTTAACATGCCCCAGAAGCTGCTGGTGCCAGCCTGCCCTCCTTGGGGGACCTGTACATCTAGGGCCAAAAGGAGCGTGAGAAGATTTCTGCAGACACCTCGCACCCTGGACATAAACTGTATAAACTCCCCCCTCTGGACAGCGCTGCAGGTCACTGTACGCCAAATCAAGCAGACACAAAGACAGTTTCTTCCCCTGGGCCGTCACTCTGATGAACACTTGATTGTATGACAGGACACAGCAGCCACCACATTGCAATAAGCTGTAAATGTAAACATTGTATAAATCAGTCTGAAAGCTCTTCTGCCACAATGTACATATGTGGATATACAGTATATTTATAATAAGATTGCTTCTTTTTTCTTCTCTATTCTCTTTCTCATTTGATGGCACCTCTTTTCCTTCTTGTGCCTTACAAAAGCACATTGAGGGCCTCTGTACTGGAGTAAAATTCCTTGTGCGTTTGAACATACTGTACTTAGCCAGTAAAGATTTTCAACTGTGTAGACTCTACTGTATGTGACATGAAACACAAATCTAGACTGACCTGAACCTCACTAGGCCTTGAATGCTTATGAATGATGATTGCTACCTGGCAGTAAACATGCTGGTTTAAATATTTAGTTTGGTAGAGTTAGTCTCGGCCCAATTAACTCTGGCAACCATGTAATCATCACATCTGTATATGTAGGACAAACATACAAGAACTATGCTTTGGTATCTCTGTAACATAATCATTTGCAAAATTACATATAACCAAACACATGTAAAAAGATGTGAAATTGTATGTTTTGACTCCAATCTTTACCAGAAAGCCTTTCTTACAAATTAGGTTGTGGAGTTGTATAGAGTGGACATTTGCTAAGCGGGGAGGATCTGACAAAAAAAATCCATTTGGTTGCATAATGGACAATATAGGATCTGCTAATACTAAGGACTAGAATAAGAGCCAAGAT